GCTTAAGTAGTATAGTCTCTTATAAATTTTCGAGGCAAATTATGAAATGAAACCAACTCAATCTGATGCTCATACTCGCCGACTTTTACTCCGAGTTCAGCTAAACGTTGCTCGTCCTCGGCGCCTTCCTTATCGGGCTGAAATTAGACATATTAACTGAGCGGATAGATTTATCGAAATTTTAGTAGTTCTAATCCCAGTAGCAGTTCACATAATTAGTCTATCGCAGCGGCAGATAGCGCTTCTTTTGTACAGAAGATCTAAGTTCGACTTCGCCAGCGAAACAACCAGTATCTCTATTCATTTGAGCCAGTTTATTCGTTTCGATGGTAAATTGGCATTGGCGCATGTCGGACAACTGAGACTGTTCCCAGCCTCTCTTCTAATTAATCTTTGAAAAAAAGGTTGCTGTCGGCAGCGTGCCATCACTTTCGCCACTTTCCAAACACTTTCATCTCTCAGATGAAGTGATATATGAAGAGGCTTTGTTTTTTGTGCAAGCGAGGAAGGAAAGATTATCAGTATGCTAATAGTAAGCCAGTTTGTGATAGCAGTTTTATTTGTGATTTAAAAAAAAAGAACATTTGATTCAACTTACAGGTCGCGCTTCGGTCTTTCCTTCAGTAATATTTTCTAATTCATTGATCCTGAAAAAGGTGCTTCTTTTAGGTGCGTTTGTAATCATTTTTCAGTTTCCTCATCCAATGCAAAAGCTCTAACATTTTTGATCAGACTTCCTGATGAAAAAAGAGAAAATGAAACCTAATTGGTACCGTCATCTTTCTGTGCACAGATGCGCTTTCTACTTTATTTTAACTGTTGTTGCGAGTATGAGCGGTTATAAGGAAGGTAGTTATTGCTAAACAAACAGATACGCGTATCAGACTTAGAAGTTTGATCCTTGCTTTATTTTCACGATTGTCATATAAAAGTTACACGAAAGCTGACCATTTTACTTGCTTTGGTTGCGGAGTTACATCAAATTTCCGTGGTAGCCCGCGAGGAAAAACGTGAATTACGCTCGCATCTTCCGGAAAATAAAAGTTTCAGCACTTTTGCTTTTTTGGTTGCGGAATTATGTTGAATTTCACGAAGTAGTGCGTAAAACGTGAGAAGCAAAACGAATGTGAAAGCTGTTTTCACGTGCACCTGCATAATATGGCTGTCAGCTACTCTCAGGTTACAGGTCTCTCCAACTTGCGGCACTTTACCAAAGAAATCTGATCATTGTTTTGTCTGCACAGAGGATCTAGGAACGCTTGAAAATTGAATTTAACTTTAGTCACACTTGGGCAAAGCACATTTACGCAAAATTTCAGCCTTTTAGCTTGCCTGTTTCTCGAAATCGTTTTCTCGCTAAAAAATCGTATCCACATTCGGAAACTAATGGGAAGTAAGCTATTATTTTATGCCTACGGATCAATATGTACTGGGGCCAGTATGTACACAATTGTAAACTAAGCTACAAAGTTTTTGCTTTATAGCTTTCATAGGTCTCGAGATCGAGGTCTGAGGGCAAAGGTCACACAGACGTACGCAAACACACACACGGTCAGTTCCATAACAGTATGCGTTTTTGCACAACATAAGTCCAGAAACGTATAAAAAAGAAAAGATGGAGAAAAAGACAGATAAGCACTTCATAGCTGAAACATCGAACAGTGCAAAGGAACTGAACTAGCCTTTTCTGGGAATCGAGCAGCCACTGCTTGCATTCTCCGAGACTCCACTCCGCATCGTCCTTCTGCTTCGCTAGTACTTCATACTGGGATTCCTTATCCGCCAGTGCGTTGCGTAAATCATCCAGCGCTTTTTGAAGCTCCCTGCAATACAGGCGATTTCAAAGCACCTCACAAAGTATGAAGTGGCAAGGATATCTGAATAGAATCTTTTATAATATAGTACAATATAAAGTGAGAAAACGCAATGGAATGGTGATTTAAGCGACAGACGCAAAGGTGCTTTGCGAAGAGTGGCTGAGTAATGCTGTGCGTAAGCGTCAGTAATCCAGGAATATATGCCAATAGTCGACGACGACCCGAGATTGTGCCAGGAAGATACGTTCAGCAACAGATGATCCCAATGGTAAATTATTCCTTGAGTTCCAGTTATCCTGTTGTAAAAAAACGTCTTACCTGATGTCCCAAAAGTTGCCTCCCCGCGGTCTACTTTGCTGTCCAAATGCTAGTCTCAGTACGCTTACCAGGGGTTGAAAATGAACGATTCGTTCGTCCAAAGCTACGCCGTGTCATGTTGCTGAGAGAAGTTCAAGCCGCTATCGTCTGGCTTTGTTGCTTACATTCTTACTTTTATACCGTCCGTATCGAGTAGCCCATCGCCTCTTTATTCTCAGTGCAGTACGATTTATCGTGCTGTGCCTTCAGGATCTTTTTTTTGCCGATAAAAAGAGTGTTAGACGTCTGACAGAAACATCGTCTCACAAAAGACTTATGATGTTCAGAAGAGTAGAAAAGGGAGTATAAAACAACTAATAAGCACTGGGTCCGATTTCATGTTTTCTGTTCGCAATTTTCAGATGTATTTGCATTATTGATTCAACCTTTTAGATATTTCACTCCCTAGAATGCAAGATGGTTTACAGTAG